CTCTCTCTCTCTCTCTCTCTTACCGAAGAGTTTTGTTAAATCTTTGCAAACGAAACGCGATTTTAATTAAACCCATAATTGTTTGCGTTTCTAACGCACAAACCAATGCACTCAACAGTAACCCAAATGCATGGCACAGCTCTCCGTGAGCCTCAACTATAATTCATAAATTAATATTCAATATAATAAATGTTATTAAATTTTATAGTATATATTTAACTAATTAATACCGTCATTATATCGGTGATAGTTAGGTGTCTTCACATAACTCATTACGGTTAACATAACGCCTGTCTTTCTATACGTTTGACATACATTCATAAGATTGTCCACTCGTTTGTGGGCCTCTTTAATATCATTCTGTGTTATATCAATATTTTAATCACAATTAAATGTATTTAAAATATGGCATATACTAAAGTGATAAATGTCAAAATTAAACATGCACAATTCATTATAATTATTTATAATAAAATAATTACCACGTCCATTGTGGCGAAGGCTTCCATAAATGCTTTGAGAGCCTTGACCATGGTCAGATAAAGATTTCTATTATCAGGGTCTACATCCCGGGGCAATGCGTTTGTCTTAAGTAATACCGCAAACAAATCGTTGGCCACAAGTATTGATTCACAAAAGTTTTTTCTACAATAAAAGCATTAAAATCAGAATTATAACTCATTTATTTACAAACTTACACATTAATTATATTGTTATTCATATTGCGATTAGTAAGTTTTAAATAACAAAGTTTTAAAAATTATTCAATATTGTTTGATTAAGTAATTTTAAATATTATTATCATTTGGTTATTTATTTTATTTAAAAAAATTTATGTTAAATTGTCAATTTTTTAAATCGAATTTTTATTGTTTAGTTTAGATTGCATTGTATCTCTAGATTACACCCTGGTAAATCCTGTGTTTTTTGCTTATTTTTTATATTTAAAAAATACAGTATGTACAATAGCTTTGGAAAAGTAATATTTTTCAACTATCAATCATTTCATGTAAATATATTTAAATAAATGTTTATCCTACATATAATTACATTAATTTGTGATCAAGATCTATTTATGCTTATTTAATTTAGAAAAATTTCCTTACTTGTTTAAATAAACAAAAAAAACTATTAGTAAAAGTTGGCCATTGATTGCGTATGCATTTAATTATATTCATCAAATACATGATGCGATCAAATATAATTGAACAAGGATATTAAACGACAACCATTTAAAACAGCAATTGTAATATCAATTGTCAATTTTTAAACAAATTTCCTTCAATTTATAAAATCATGGTAAGAAAGACAATAAAATATAAGAATATATTTCAAACAAACAAACATTACATTTAAATAAGAATGTTTATATTTAATAAATAAAAATATTTGTATCATATTTAGCTATTTTAATTATAACAATTAACTTTTAATTACACATATTAATTATAATGGAGAGTCTAATCAACCATAAATACCTGCGGTTATATTGTGAATTCCTAGGCATCCTATTTATAGTATTTACACTACTGTTCATAATCGCGCGGTTCATCATATATTTATGGCTCAAATACAAGGCCCGGCAGTTTAAATGGCGGGGCGGACCCCACACCTGGGCTGTGATCACCGGCTGCACCGAAGGCATTGGTCTGGCCTACGCCGAGCAACTGGCAGCCAAAGGGTAGCCCATTTGCACATTATCAAAGTTTATAGCATAATTTAACATGTTAATTTTACATTTTTCTTAGTTATAATCTACTGCTTATAAGTCGCAATGATGAAAAACTGCAAAAAGTTAAGTCAGACATCGAGGTAAAAAACAAGTCCGCACGAAAAGTACGTACACTTGCCATAGACTTCTTCGACACTTCCGACGAGACGTACGACAAGATTGACCACATGTTGGACACGTTGGACGAAATACACGTTTTGGTCAACAACGTCGGCACCAATTATCCCAACGAAAAGCCCGAATACATGACCAAAATACCGGGGCTGACACATGTGATCATGAGTTTGATCAATGTCAACATTGTCTCGTGCACACGACTCACAGCCCTAGTGTTGCCACGTATGGAGCGCAGGGGTCGGGGCGTTATCATTAACCTGTCCTCATTCTCGGCCCTATACCCGGTGCCTCTCC